TTGTTACTAAAGAGAGGTTAACAAACTGCCATATGTTAATCAAAATCTTCCACTCCAATGCTATCCTTTATGCACTCCTCCCTCTGTGTACCGATTTTGCTGCTCTAAAGTGGCAACGTTAAACAGGCATTTGCTTCAGCAGTCAAGTGGTCCAACTACCAAATTAGTGTTCCAATCCAAGTGGATCAGTGCAGTTGAGACAAAGAAACGAGTTTTTCAAGTTGAACTCTTTGTGCACCCACTTGTCCTTAAGGCGTACATTTTAGGAACAAACAAATTAGGTGACACTGCTGGTGTATTTCACGGTTTCAGGCGCATGGCAGCAACATCTGACTCTTGCGGCAACCAGTCCAGTCGCATTTCTGCGCTCAATCCACCACCTCAAATGCATAAACAACCCCTTAAATGACTTTTCCTTCATTCCATCACTCTAATCGGATGATGCAGGCTTTATGCAAAAGAAAACTATTAGAAGAAGGCGAAAAATTGCAAGACAGTCAAGTCAGCAGCTTGGAGTATTCACATTTGAAAAGAGAAGTTTAGGTCCCACTGATTCACAAAGGAACAAAGGGAAGCTTTCATCAATGACATATTTATGAACATGTTTGAAGGAAAAAATTTATGATAACTAACATTGGAATTTTGTTAAAATGGTGCTTGGCAGTTGCCGATGTGTCACCAGCAGTCATCTGTTCGACTCGTCAAGTTGAATGAACCTAGACACTCAAGCGTCTAACACAGACGGTGACTATCCTGCTTGAACGACAACCGCTGTTGTCTCACCTGGGTTGACAAAAAAATCAAAAGGTAATGGAAATGCATGGATAAGTAGGCAGAGGCTTTTTATTTTTAAAACTTTGGCTATTCACTGACGTCTTTTTAAGGCCGGCAAATTATATGGTTTGCAGTTCCGGCGGGGAGCGAATTCAACCCGATGAACTTCGCCATCCTTAATGAAGTGTCACTGCTTGTTTTTAAACATTTTTTTTTGAGGTCGAAGAGCATATTGCTGGCATGCTTGGTGTACCTCGGCTACTTCCAAAATTTCCTTTTCTGAGGCATCATTTCCATGAGCGGCATGTCAGAAATGTGGGACCTTGGATACTACACGAAACAGCGATTTTAATCGTTGAAATTTCAGCTTAGTCAACCGCAATCTCATCCTTGAGCTACTTGTAAAGGGTTGAGGATGCACTACTTCTCAACCCTAGTGGAAGGGTGATGGCACAGATTCCCGACGTGCTGTGACGAGAACACGCATGTAAGTAGCATGAAAACCAAAGCGTAATTGTGGACGATAAAAATGTGCACCGTTGCCACGGCTTATCGCAATCTTTAGGCTGAGTAAACATAGTTGTTTGTTTTGAGCTGTAACACAACACACAAGCGCACGTCCACTATTGACTGCTTCCAACATCCACGGAAAGCTACTTTGCACTACCTCTAAACATCCTCACCATACAAGAATTGCGGCATCGTATCTGCAGACAAGCTCCAAAGCAGTCATAATGCCGAAGAACTGTGACTGCCTTCTCAACCACTGCATCCCTCTTTGAGGCAAACGATCGGCATTTCAATTTTACCCTGAAACGTCCCGCATTAATGTCTGTAGAGATTTTACACTCCACTTG